CAGGAAAAAAAAAACCCGAGAGACTATAAGAAGCAGTGTTTGAAATCCCGTTTATCCAGCAGTGTGCATATAGCAAGTCGCAGGTAAGTGGCCACTGCTTTTATTTTTTGTGATTACTGATTATGATCATTTTTATTTATTGTTATTATTCTTACTATAGTTAATCTCTCATTGTGTTTCCCATCTGGGTAGCTGCCCCTTGTTTCTTCTTGAAAGATAGTATTGGTGTTTGAATCCATTTCTGGCATACCTAGGAGAGCAGGGTAGAAGGGGAAGATCTGGTTACCTGCCTCCTATTTCCCCACAAACTTTGTGTTATGGAAAATAAAAAATGTTTGAGAAGAGAGAATGCCACAACGTGCTCCCAGGTACCACCTCCCAGCCTCATGAGTCAGCAACTTTGGCTACTGTCATTGCATCTGTCCCTCACCTACTTCTGTCTCTGCCCCCTGACCTGCTTCTTTCCCTGCCCCCGACCCAGATTGTTTTGAAACATATCCCAGACATCTTATTTAATCTGTAAATCATTTTCGAGTTGCACCTCTGAAAAATGAATCCCCTGGAAGATCGCTGCCTGGAGCCTGGGCTGCCGGTGGGGTTGGGGGTGGGAGGTTGTATTGCACCCCAGGCATCAGCGGGAGGGTGAGCATGGGCCAGAACTGCAGCCCCTTTCCATGGGCACAGCAAGCTCCCCTGGGGTCAGCTGCATGGGGCAAGGCAGGGTGAGCCCAGAGACCTTGTGTCAGGTTTGGCCCTAGGAGCCCAGGTGTTGCAGGTAATGAGAATCCTTTCATTTTTGTGTCTACAAACTCCCTTCACATCCGTGATCTCTGTGATGCCCACAGCAGCTGCTTCGGGCAGGGCTTTATTCAGAATGGACCTTACCCAGGACGAGTCTCAGAGAGTTAACTCCAGACTCGGGACCCTGATAGCATTTTCCATTAGAAGAGAGCAAATCCCTGTGTCTCACTCCTTGCCCATTTCCTGGCTGTAAGGACAAAGGAGGAAAGAGTCTCTCTGACTTTCATCTCATTCCGCTCAGATTCTCAGTGGCAGTTTTGCAGAGACCCAGTTGTCCCTGTTGGCATCATTCCATGGGCTGGGGGTATCTAAAAAGCTGGAGAGAGCTTATGCTGTGGGCGGGCACCGTGAGGCTCCACCCCAGGTGTGTTCCAACCGTCATCCCTGTGGGGGCTGGATGTCTCTGCCGAGAGCCATGCTGCCCTTGTTGGCTCCAGGATCCACTCTTGGCATCCTTCAGCCAGCAGGCCCTGCAAGGGAACATGTGCTTACCGTTTGCCATGGATACGGTTGTGCCTGTCTTCCTCTGAGTGGTGATAAAACCGTACAGCGTGCTTACCCGCCCAGCAGTTTGGTAATTCTGAGAGACTTGTGAAAAATGCATGAGGACCTCTGCATAATAGATAAGCTGGAAAGCCTGGCACAAAGTCCACTTGTGGATAGCAGGGTGACTGGAAAAACTCTGCCCTCTCTGTCCCCATCCCAGAAGAGATTGTGTTTAGGAAGAATTCTTCTGTTAATACTGAAGCTTTCATCCCCAGTCAAAAGCTTGTTGGCGCCTGCTTGTCAGATATTTTCCCCTTCATGTAGCCTCTTTCCCTCATGAGTTTGGCATAACTTCGTGTCTTAATGAATCTCAGTTCTCTCTTTAAAGGTCACTGTCCTAATGCATAAACATGGAATCGGAATCAGCCTCATGTTGTTCAGAGCTGAGTGGATACTCTTCTTGGGACTTTGAGTGGGGGAAGGAGCATGTCTGTTCTAAGCGGCCTCAGTTGCAGAGGGAGAATTGCGTCATCCCTTCCATGCACTTGACTGATAGGCTCCTTTTGGAAGGCAGGCACAAGTGCGTGGGTGGCCCTCCCGTTACCTGGAATGCCTCTAGAAAGTGATCCGTCCCATTCTAGAACAGCTCCTCTATGCAGCCTTCAAGTTTACTTTTACAAACACATTCTTCATTCTCTCAGTCTGTTTTGACCTTAGAACTAGAGGCCATCTTTACAAGGACCTTAAGGTCATCTGCAGTACTCTTCTTGTCACAGATGAGGAGACTGAGACCCTAAAAAGCCAAGTGACGTGCCCAAAGGTGACTCTGAGAGGTGACAACACCAGGCACCTGTGCTTCTTGACTCCCCGTCACATAGCCTTTCCACTACCCCAAGCTGCTTCCTGGGGTGTTTAGGTGAGGGGAGTGAGGACAGCTGAGTGCCTTTAGCTTGTAACCGAGGACATGAACTGCTGGCCAGGACTACAGATCCAGTGGAGTGAAGCGGAGAAAGCTTTTGGTTGTTTGAGTATCTGCTGCACCCCACGTAATGCCCTGAGCACTGTCAGTGATGTGAAGTCTCTTGAGTAGATGGCCTTTTAATGTTGACATTTCTTTCTCTTTCTTTCTTTCTTGGAGATAGGGTCTCACTCCACTGTCCAGGCTGGAGTGCAGTGGCACCATTGTGCATTGCTGCAGCCTCAATCTCTTGGGCCTGAGTGATCCTCCCACCTCAGCCTCCCAAGTATCTGGGACTACAGGCTTGCACCACTGCACCCAGCTGTTACTGTTGGGATATGAATATGATTTCATATGTATGTGTGAGTCTTGGCAAGGAGGGCTTCATGAATGACCTGCTCTCATGGAAGCATGGATTGCGTTAAAAAGAACAAGCTCTGACGAAGGAATGGTGCCAAGAGGGGTGGTTACTCATGGAGAGCCCCCAAATGAGACGGGGGATCAGGTGCAGGCCCTTGGGGGAGGCTGAGACGGTCAGGAGAGAGGCACTGGGCATGGTCGCTTGGCCCCAGGGCAGCTCTGGATAAAACCTTCCTGAGGGAGACTCCTCGGCTAGTCCCCACACTCTGTGTGGGCGACAGATGTGGGCTTTCCTGCATCAGTGCCTGGCTCACTGTCTACAGGCAATGGGTCGGTGGCCGAGTGGCTTGCTGACAGTCGGAGGGAGCTGTGATGCCAGCTTCTGCCCTGCATCCAGGCCCTCGCACTCATGTGCAAGGAGAGGATGGTGAAGGGATGAGGACCGTCACAGGCGTGAGGACTGGAACGTGAGGACTCTCCTAGGTTATGCAGCCACCACTGAGGCCAGAGGAAGTCTTTAAACACTCAGAAAGACAGAAAGGAGCCCAGGGCCAGACACTGTGCCACGAAACACAAGGAAAGACTGATTTCAGAGCAGAAGTGGGAATGTGAGTCTCTGGCTTTTGTGTTGAGTGCTCTTAAAAGTGGTCACTGGGACCAAAATAAGTTTACTGAAGAAAAATGATTCCAAATGGCTCTTTCTTTCTGTCGATAAGGTTCACTAGGAAGGCAGCACTGGGGTGTATTTCCCTGGCCTGTGGAGACCTCACTGATGGGCTATGGAGTGGGTGAGCAGAGGGAAAGGGGGCTGGCTGGGCGGAGTAATTATGCTGGCACATCGGTTTCCTGGGGCTGTCGTCACCAAGTTTCACGAACCCGGAGGCTTAACACTGCAGGAATCTCCTCTCCCAGCCGTGGGAGCCAATGGCTCCAGTCAGGGCATCAGCCATGGCTCGCTCCGGAGGCCCTGAGGGCGAAGCTTCCCTACCCCCCTCCCAGCTCCTGGTGGTGGTGGGCACCTTCAGGCCTCCTTAGCTTGGCCTGGGCCCTCAGGCTTTATGAGGATTTATCCTGGGGTCAAGGAGACAGCCCCTGCTCCTTGCCCTACAGACCACGATTGATGCCTCACCTGGCTGCCTTGAACCCTGATCTGACTTGGCCTCAGGCATAATTTCCTGTGATGGTGACTGGTGGGACCAGTGGGTACCATTTGGCTCACAGCTCCAGAGGCAGACCGTCTGTGTGGGAGTCTGAGACCACCATTTTTCGGGGATGTGTTGTGTTCCTGGCTTTGGGTTAGGCCTTCTCCTTGTATTCTCCCCTTCTATGCTCTTAGAAGTGGGTGTGGTGAGCTGGTAGGTATGTCACTGCAGTCATCTGTCTCCACACAGCCTCCCCGCTGTGTCTGTGTTCAGATTTCTCTCTAAGAAATCCAGCCAGGGGATTCAGGCCCACTCACAGGCAACATGACCTCGTCCTGACTCCATTCCATCCACAAAGGCCCTGTGTCCTTATGAATAAGGCCACGTTCACAAGTGCTGAAGGGTTAGGACTTGAGCGTATATTTGGGGGACACAATCCAACCTGCAGCAGCTGGTTGAGGCTTCTTCAGGCCAGCTTTTTCCCTGAGACCCCACTCTTATTACGTCAGCATTCCAGTTTTGTCCTTAGAATCATGGGTGTTGAGAGCAGAGGGTGACCTCATTTGCTGTGTCGGCCGGGTTGGTCTGGGGCCCCCCAGGGTGGCGTGGGGCTCTGCCCATTATTTTATTGAGTTCTGTTCCGAGCAGTAGTGCCTTCCCTGCAATGTAAGGTAGGGTTATTCCTCTAAGAAGATTGGAAGTTTCTTAGAGACTTGTTTTTGTCATGGTTTCTCTCGTGACATTTCCTCCGTGCCTACCCTGAAGCTGGTAGGTATGGAAGTGAAGTACTTGAGTGTTGGGTGGCTGGTGCCCACCCTGTGGCAAGTTTCACTCAGCCACACCTTCATGCACGCTGATGACTCCTGGCATCATCCCACTCTCCTGGCACTGCCTCAGAGTCCCTGTGAGCATGGGGTGCGGGGAGGCCACTCCCAGAGAGAGGAACCAGTGCCTGGAGCGGATCTGCTTCCGGGTGAGGCTTTGTCTGGAGTCAGGCGGCCTGCCCTGGGCCTGGTTCTGGTTTCCTTGCTGTCTTCTGTGTGAGGCTGTATTTCTGAGTATGGCCTGGTCAGGCCTCCTCTCAGATCTCCAGGTGACTGCTCACAGCGCCCCAGCGCTGGGACGCACCACCCTCCACCAAAGCTGGGGCTGGAGGGCAGGACAGGAGTGAATGGACGTGCAGAGGGCGCGAAGGGGGAGGTGCTGCCTGGCATTACCCCTGCTCTAACCAGAGCAGTGTGATTCCCTTTCAGGAGTACATCGATGCTCACCCCGAGACCATCATCCTGGACCCGCTCCCTGCCATCAGAACCCTGCTTGACCGCTCCAAGTCCTACGAGCTCATCCGGAAGATTGAGGCCTACATGGAAGGTAGGGACACGTGTGGCCCCGCATCCATGCCAGGCAGCCACCTCTGTGGTCACAGAGTGGCCATGGCCTGAGGTAGACAGAGAGGGGTCTTGTCTTTTTAAGTGCTTTGTGGCAGGAAGCATTTGGATTCCATGGGGCAGTCATTCTGGGGAGGTCCTTTTATTTTCCTGTGACCAGCAGTGAGGAAACAGCCCTCAGGGTGCTCTCATGGAAAGGGGCTCCCAGGGTTTTGTTTTGCTATCTTGAACCTGTGGGTGACATTGAGGTGTCCTGGTAGCACAGAGGCTGGAGAGCAGGAGTATGTGTAGATAGCTCAGCGGCCGGCAGGCGAGTGGAGTTATGTAACTGGGTAGAGGACACAAACAGAAACTGAAGGCCTTTAATCAAACACGTGGAGATGTCATGCGGCTGCTGGACCTCACGGGTCCACTCTGTTCTCGAGGGCAGGGGCCTCCCTCTTTGCTGTGGTGCCTCCCCTGCCAGCTGCAGGCTCCTATCCCTGAGGACTCACCCCCGACCCTTCCCCACCCCGGGGGGCAGGCCCAGCCAGAGAACTCAAGGCTGCATTTTCAAGTTGTTTATGTGAGAAAGACTTTGTGAAAAGATTCATGTTAACAGTAATCTTCTAGTTCACTTTGCTTGGTCCAAGTGTGCCCTGCTGACAGCTCTTGTTTAGTGCTTGGCCTGGGCCCTCAACTTTGTGAGGATTTATCCTGGGGTCAAGGAGGCAGCCCCTGCTCCCTGCCCTACAGACCATGATGAGGCCTCACCTGGCTGCCTTGAACCCTGATCTGAATGGTGACTTGGCCTTGGGTATAATTTCCTGTGATGGTGCCCGGTGGGACCAGTGGGTACCAATTGGCTTATAGCTCCAGAGGCAGACCATCTCCATCGGAGTCTGAGACCACCATTTATGGGAATGTGTTGTCTTCCCGGCTTTGGGTTAGGCCTTCTCTGTATTCTGCCTTTTGGTACTCTTAGAAGTGGGCATGATGAGCCTTCCCATTTTTTTTTTTTTTGAGGCGGAGTCTTGCTCTGTTGCCAGGCTGGAGTGCAGTGGCTCGATCTCGGCTTACTGCAACCTCCACCTCCCAGGTTCAAGCGATTCTCCTTCCTCAGCCTCCCAAGTAGCTCAGACTACAGGCGCATGCCACCATGCCTGACTAATTTTTGTGTTTTTAGTAGAGACCGGGTTTCACCATGTTGGCCAGGATGGTCTCGATCTCTTGACCTCATGATCCACCTGCCTCAGCCTCCCAAAGTGCTGGGATTACAGGCGTAAGCCACCGCACCTGGCCTGAGCCTTCCCATTTTACAGATGAATCCAGAGGCCCTGAGAGGTTACCAGATGTCCCACATCACGCAGCATTCAGGTGGCTAGGCCAGCATCCAGCCAGGTCTCTCTGACTCGGGCACCCCGGCTCCTGAGCTGGACTTTCATGTCCATGGCCAGAGGGCCCTGGATCTAGAAGGACCTGAAATGGCATAACTGAGGACCCTGGCCTGGAGAGTGGGTGAGTCCTCGGTTTTGTCTTGAAGGAATGTGCCCTGCGGAAGAGCTGGCTGCTGGACTTAGCTGTTCGGAAGGGCTCCCGGGGCCTCTTTCCCTGAATGCCTGACACACTGGTGGGTATAGAGAGTGGGGGTGTTATCCTGGTGCCTCATGTGGGCAGCCTTTCTTAGCACGCGCCAGCAGCCTTTATTAGCTGGACCTGGCGTGATTGGCATCTGCTGTCCACTTCCCCCACCTTGGCACTGTCTTCCTGGATCCATCCAAAATTCCAGATGGGAAGAAAGGGCTGTACATCCCCTCCTGGGGTCACGTTCACCTCAGTCTGACATGAGTGAAGTTTTGGCCAAATGTTTTGGTTCTGGAAGGGGAGTCAACCTCTTTCCAGAAGATGTGCATGTCAGACACTGCCTGTGTGAAGAGCAGGAGGCTACATTAGAACGTGAGAAGGCCCAGCTAGTGGAAGAAGGTGGTGGACCAGCAGCCATCTCATGTCCCGGTCAAGTCCATTCGAAGAGTGACAGGTTTGGGTGAGATTTGAGAAGGTGTCACCGAGAGGCCTTTCAGAGCTAAAAGCACAGGCTCTGGAAGGAGGCATACTGAATGTGGGTCCCAGTCTGGGCTCTTGTTAGCCGTGTGGTCTCTGAAAAGTCAATCAGTTGAGTCCTGCTGGTCTTCTGGAAGATGTGGGTAATACCTGGTTCAGCCACAGGGTCAGGGGTCAGGATAGCTGGGATGATGTCTGCAGAGCACTTAGCATGGGACCAGCCTGCTGGTCACCCGGGAATAGCAGCTGCTGCGGCTGCTCCCACCAGTCAGCATCCTAATTGAGTCTTAACATCTATCTTAAATTTTTAGGAGTGGAAGACGAGGGCTGGGGATCAAGGGTGAACCTGGGCCCAGGGTGTGAGTGTGCATGGTGTGTTCAGGGAGCAGGAGCCCAGTGATGAGGTGGACCCGAGAAAGTCATGCCCTAGAGGCAGGCCCAGAAGGTACCTTCGTCACCCACTTGCCCAGCTCTGGAATTGGGCCTCTCCTGGAGGCAGTTAGGAATCAGGTCAGGAATTTTAAGCAGGGTGTGTCCTAGTTCACTGGGAGATTATAAAGTTCAAGAGCTGCCCGCAAGGGGAGAGCTATGGGTGTTCCAGGAGAGGGCCCAGTCCCCCAACAGGTCCAGAGAGAGAGCTGTTGACCAAACCCTAACGCATGCTTGGTTCTAGATCAGCAGGAAGTGTCCGGAGGGTGGGCCACAAATGTTGCACCCTGGATTTTCCTTATTGTGCATGCTGGGCCTGGGCTTGGGCTTGCATTCTTCCAGGTGGGCAGTCAGAGGCTGGGACTTCCTGGATCCCTTTCCTGCCCCGCCAGGAGCCTGTCCATTCACCAGCACTGCTGGATGGGTCCCTGCTGCATGTCCCCACCAGCTGTGGGGGCAGAGAGCCTTCCTGGGAAGCACACCCTGAGCCCTCCTCCTCTACTCCCTGCTATTCCTGGAGGCACTCAGCCCTTTCAGGCATATTGTAAATGGCCATAATTACCCTTGAAGTTCCCTCAGATAATCACAGCAATCCAGTGACATGCTTTTGTGTTGGGAGAAGGGACTTGGCAAGACTTCCTCCGGTTGTCACCCTCCTTGGCACTAAGACTGCTCTCCCTGTTTTCAGAGAATCTGGACAGCTGCAGGGAAGACAGCTGATGGGGGATGGGTGGGCACTTTAGGACTGCTAGGATCCCATTGATGGGCAGGGGGAGGGAGACAACCAGAGCCCCTGCTCTGCAGTGAGGGTGGGCAGCTGGGCCATGGCACAAAGGGAGGGTCTCCCAGGAATAACAGGCAGAGCCCTTGGATAAGGTCTGTGCTCAGATGGGTCGTCTGTCTCCCTGCAGAGCATCAGCCATTCCCACCTGATGGCAGGTGGGAGGGCCTCTCCCACCCTAGCTCTGCATCCAGGAGACAGATGAGGCCTACTGCTGGGAGCTCCCAGCCTCGCCATCTCTGGGCAGCCTTTGTGAGGTTGCTGCCTTCTCAGTTCCACATTTCTAGAGCTCATCCTCGTGTCATTCAGAGCCTGGAGGGGAAGCAGGGTCATTTCTCTGCCTCAGCTCTGGCAGCTTCAAACACTTAGTACCAGTTAGCATTCAAGTTGCTCTAACAGCAGACCTAAAATAATGGTGGCTTAAATGAGACAGAACTTCCTTTCTCTCTGATGTAAGAAAGGCCATCCAGCAAGGGTGCAGGGGCTGGGACCCTGGCTCCTTCTAGCTCCTGGGGGGCTGGGACCCTGGCTCCTTCTAGCTCCTGGGGGGCTGGGACCCTGGCTCCTTCTAGCTCCTTGTTCTTTTGTAGTCAAGCAATCTGGTCCTGGGTGATGGCTACACTTCCAGCCCTCACATCCAAGATCTAGACATTAGGATGGAGAGGACAATGAAGAAAAAAGAAGCAGTCTGGGTGCGGTAGCTCATGCCTATAATCCCAGCATTTTGGTAGGCTGAGGCAGGCAATTACCTGAGGTTGGGAGTTCAAGACTAGGCTGACCAACATGGAGAAACCCTGTCTCTACTAAAAATACAAAATTAGCTGGGTGTGGTAGCACATGCCTGTAATCCCAGCTACTCAGGAGGCTGAGGCTGGAGAACGACTTGAACCCAGGAGGCGGAGGTTGCCGTGAGCCGAGATGGCACCATTGCACTCCATCCTGGGCAGCAAGAGTGAAACGTCATCTCAAAAAAAAAAAAAAAGGGAAAAGAAAAAGAAAAAAAAGGGAAGCAAATGCGAAGGCCTAGTTCTCTTTAAAGTTTACAGAAACTATGTAATGCTCTATTCCAACACTGGCCAGAATTAGTCACATCCTAAACTGCAAGGGAGTCGGGAAATTGAGTCCTCGTTCTGAGCAGCCATGTGCCCAGCTAAAATGTGGATTTTGTCACCACGGAGGAATGGCTAGAATGAGTGTTAGGGGAGGTCACTTTCCAAGACATGGATTCCTGCCTGAGGACCTAATTCCCATGGCTGAATGAGCTTGGAATTTCTCCTCTGGCTGGCTGGGGGTTTGGCCTTAGCCTGTGACCTTAGCAGCAGTCCTCTCCCTGTAGCAGCCAGCATCTTGGAGGCTGGGAGGCTTGCAGAGTGACCTCCCTCAGCTTGCCAGGCCCCAGGTTTTCGTCAGATGACTGCTTCTGGGAGGCAGCCATGCCTATACCCAGACCCACACACCCTAGGCAGAGGCACAGGCAGCGCTGAGCCTGGGTTCAATTCAAACCAAGCTCTTAATTCTCCCTAGAAATTTAGCAGTCCCTGGTGCAGGCCTGGGGGAGGGAGGGAGGAGGTGTAGTGACAAACACTGTCTCACCTCTCATGAATTTGCATGCTGTTTCTCCCATCAGCAGCCCACTCTGCCACCAGGGCCAGGGTCCAGAGATAGAAGCCCCAAGGCCAAGGCATGGCTGTGCCAGCCCAGGCCGAGCGATTCTGGGCAGGGCTCTAACTGGC